TGATAAGTGAGTACAACTAATCAATTCCGTTGCTATCGCAACCAATTGACCAAATGACGCTCCACGCACGCTTCTAGAAACTCCAGTGACTAATCCTTGAGATAAAATAGTATGGAATCATGGAGTACGCCAATATGACTTTCGCCAACTAGACGTACACCAATTGCCGAAGGTCCACTGTATTTGAACTGAGATACGATACAATGAATTGATTTTATAAATCACCAGTAAAACCCATTTTATTTAAACAAAACTCATTTAACTAAATGAACAAAACAAATGAGAAACCTGCCATTCTAACGATTTTCATTTGTTATTAAACTCTAACTCCAACAATTTTATTGAAACTGTAGCTATTGGATGTCTGTATTATATCGATTTATAAACATAAAAATTCTGTTTGATTCTACTTACCTGATTTTTGGTAAAGAGAAGCAATTATTAGGACTAAAACTTTAAGTCGAGTACGACTAGATATTGGTATGGTTGATCAAAATCAGAGGCGCTCGATATCTCGGAGGCGGGGGGAAAGGAAGTCGATGTCGGAGTAAATTTGTATGCTTTTAAAAATTGGAGTAATACTAAAGAAAAAAAAGATCAATATTCTAAGCAGTTTTCTTCTAAAGCAAAACTGAATTTCCTTCTATCTAACTCTGTTTAATTCAACACAAAAAGCCTTATAATATAAAAATATATTTACTGAAGCCATGTTACAGTCTGTTCTACTTATCTTATCTTATTTTATGTACATGGCAAGAATCTTATTTTCTATCAAACACAGAAAGAGAAAAAACAAATGCTTTCCTCTAAAAATGGAAATATACGTCTTACTCCGAAAATAGAAGTAAAATATCTTACTTTTAAAAAGAGTAAATTTCTAACTACGAAACTGAGAGTAAGCCTTTTACTCTCAAAATGGGAATAAATATCTTACTCCAAAATTAAGAGTAAACGCCTTATTCTGAAAATGGAAATAAGCGCTTTACTTCGAAACTGAAAGTAAGCCTTTTATACTCTAAAAATGAGAGTAATTATCTTACCCTGAAAATAAGAGTAAGCGCTTTACTCCGTGAGATGTTTCCATAAGTTAAAGATCTAATTTTTGAAGTAAGAAACTCCTAATTTCGGAGTAAATTTTTTCAAAAAGCAGAGGGACTTATCGAGGCACCTCTGATCAAAATGTAAAATAAAGTTTTACATTATCGTTTGCAAGGATAAGATTCAGTAAAAAGTCGTAGTAGTTCGTCACTGTATATCGTATTAATCTGAGAGGTTTGACTTGAATATCATCGATAGATTATATAAAACTTCTTGTCAAACAAATTGAGGTATCAAACAGTATTGTATGTTATTCTTAATTTTGGGTGTTTATATAATTCATTGCACTGTTTCCTCTCTTCCCACCGTTCCATTTTGTTCGTGATTAGACAATATATATATGATCTACGCAGAATAAATAAAAATTTCTCTCTTCTTTTGATTCGTTTTTCGCATCCTATTTAATCCTATATCTCAAGATATAACTAACATTTAGAACGTGGGAACAATCATGAATATCGACGGTCGTCCGTTTTCTTTTATTTTTCATACACATTGCTAACGATACAAAACACAAATCTATTTTCTTTCATATCTTCATTTTTTTGCAGTACATGCTAACATATTTCACCCATCTACACACACTTGTATGAAGATTTTATAATAAAGAATTTTATAAAAACGACAAAACTACGTTTTTTTTCTCATCCTTGCGTAGTGCGAATTAAGTTACTGTTATTTTATTTTAAGAGATAAGAATGTCAAAAACAACTCGTAAAAGACGTTGTACATCAGCGAACTTTCATACAGATGAACATTGTTCAACGAACGATACAAAACATCAGCAACAGATATCATTACAAAATTCACAGGAAGAACGAGAATCTGATAATTGTCAACAATTACACAAATCATCTGAAACAGAAGGTAGAGAAAAGAAACGAGTACGATTTGATATTATTGAAGAACCAATAGTTAAATTTATTCATCGTCATGATATATGTGAGGTAGATCGAATATTACAAGGATTTACATCATACGGTAATGATCGATGTATAACAATAAATGTAAATGGATATGTTCGTATCTATAATAGATTTGGTTTCGAATCCGAATTGTTGTTATGTGTTGATAAAATACAAGGTATTCATTATTGTTCTCATATAGAGTTACTAATCGTAGTAGCTGAAGATAAACATCAATTACTTGGCTTTCGTATAAATACTGATAATAACGATGAGAAGGGAAAAGTTATTAAACAAACGACACAGTCAAATTTGGTAAACTGTCTCGCAATAGTTTTGATTGTTTTTTCTTTTTGTTATTGTCTTTATTATTTTAGAAATCAACCAATCTGTTGACATCAAATTTCAAATATCTTCTTCATGTTGTATATACCTCACAGCAACGATATTCTATTCAGTTGCTAAATAGTCGAACATGGAAACGGTTACGAAAATATGAAATTGATTCACAATATGAACCATTGTCATTGGATTCGAATGATCGATATATGGCAGTGACAATACGAACAAATGATGAATCAATACAAATGAGAACATTAGTATACAATTACTATTTTCGTGAAGTATATACAGTTGATTATGACCATGACACGATTCAGAATGATTTACATTGGCTAACAGAAAAACAACTTATTTACTTGTCAAATGAAACAATGAAAACTGTAAACATTGTCGATGATAATGTAACAATAATTGAAACTGTAACACATGGACAACGTTTGAAAATATCTCAAGATGGACAATTGTTGTGGTTGATAGATGAACAAGGGCGACTCATTTTGTTTCAAATAGAACGCGTGTAATTTTGCCTATTCATTAAACTAGTTACAATATCTTGATAATTCTGACAAAATTGTTGTACTGTTGTACTCCCAGATCAAAGAATCTTACTGTAAGAGCTTATAAGATTTCTGTACGATTCAGTCTGATTTTGTAAGATTTGTATAAAAATTTGTAAGATTCTATAAGAAACATAGAAACTGATTCTTGATGTAAGATCTTATAGTAAGATTTCGTAAGATTCTTGTATGATTTTTATAAGATGAATTCATTTCTATGATTTTCCGTAAGATTTTATAAGATCTTGTGAGATCTTGATCTGATTTTTTGACCTGGGAATATCTAAACCACCTATCCTCAAGGGAAATCTCGTTGAGTGCATACGAAAAGAAGGAATCTGACCAATATAGATTAAAAGCCACGCGTTTTAGACTCGTGTAGTAAAAATGGGAAAGATCAGATCGTTGTTTTGAAGTAAACAATGGAAATATGGCGAAGAATCAAGTAAAAATAGGAAGAACATAGCACAAAAACAATGCTTTTTTTAATTCGGAGGACGTGCTACCATTGACTCTACACGCCATGATCATATTGACACTGCCTAATTTTCAGTACAGTCTTGCTGATCATTAGACCCCATCCGATTTTAGATGTAATCCAATATCCCAGATATCTAAAGGCCTTTACCCAGTGAATATGCTGTGAACCACAGAAGATATCGAAATTTGGGGCTACAATAGCCCTAGCTGACCAAATAGCTTCTGTTTTGGTGTAATTTATCGGTTGCAAATTTATGATCGAGTACATTTCCAACAATTCAAAGAATTTTTTGAGTCGTTTTTCCAAATCTATGTTGTTCCGTATATTTTGTTCCAATTCTACCTGCCAGAACCGCAGCTAAATCGTCCGCAAAAAGAAGGAACTACAGTAACTTAGGAAATCCCCCAACGTATCACGCAGACATGGGGGATTTCCTAAGTTACTGTAGTTCCTTCTTTTTTGCCGACGATTTAGCTGCGGTTTTGGCAGGTAGAATTGGAATAAAATATACGGAACAATGCATAGATTTGGAAAAAATATTTTAATAAAGATTTTATTTTTATAGAATATATGTGGTGTGGAAGACCACAGAATTTGTCATTATTCAGATTAAGTACTTTGTTTAGAAGATGTTAATGATTGAAAACATCTGAACTGTAGGCATAATTCCAAAAAATAAAGAAATAAAGATGAAACAAATGATTGGCGTTCTTCTTCTGCGACCACGGTTTTTTTCTCAGAATTCGCTGCGCTTCTTCTATTCAATCTTCTCTTTTCGAGCTAGATTACTTTTAGTCGATCTGGGTAATTCATCATGACTTAAAATCACTTATTCGCACAATTGAAGAGGAATAATCAGCTCATGATTTGAGGTGAGGACATCGAAGATGACATACTAAGATCCTAAGATTTCCTAACTTGAAAACAGCAAACATAAATGCTTTATTTCTTTATTTTACCTGTATTTTTTAAAAATAAATTTTTTTCATTGATTTATCGTTATTTTTTAAATATGAATGACGAGTTTAATCGTGGCAATTTAAGATTTTTTAAAGTCATTTTTGGATGAAAAAATTGAAAAATATTGATCTTTTAAGCTACAGGAATTCCAAAATCATTTATTTCTTAGTTTCCACCGAAAGAATAGGATCCCTTTTAGTTTTTGAAATATATGCAATGGCGTAACCAGAATTCTTAGACTGCTGGATCGTGTTCCATAGAGTCGAAATACTTGGTGGTTCTAGGTGGGCCGAACGTTTTCTGTCTGGGCAGGAAATCTTTTCTGATAACGTCACTGTCCGTGCTGCTCGTTATCATGGTAATTTAAGATTTTTCAACGTCATTTTTGAATGAAAAAATTGAAAAATACTGATCTTTTAAGCTGCAGGAAAAACAGTGAAGTTTTGAAAGCAAAGCAAAAATTACATGTTTGATCGCTTTTCGAAATTTCAAAACCATTTATTTCTTAGTTTCCACCAAATTTCCACCGAAAACTGAGCCTGGAAAGTTAATTTTCCAAAGGTGGAATTATTATTCTTTTTGAAAAATTTGGTTTTGTTGTCGAGAAATTCAATTTTTTCAAAATCAGTGTAAAAACCATGAAATTGGACTCGTATGTTGCCATTTCCTCTATCAAAATTCAACAAGGGAAAGGAAAGGAGAGGGGCTTATTTGATCAGAAAACGGCCCCTCATTTTTTTGCCTTACTTTAACTGGACTTTTGTCGAAAAGACATTTGCACACACTGCCTAGTTGTTCTTATGGAAAATAAACTCAAAATACGTTTTTAACCTCGGTTGTTTTTGAGATTCCATCAGAGAACGTCGTTCATAGAAAAAATAACATTTTTGAAAAATCCGGCATAGGTTTCCCATAAACCTTGGTATGAAAAGACAGCCAGTAAAAGACAAAATAAAATACTCATCTGCTCTACAAAATTCTATATAAAGAACCTTTAACCATTATTGGCCGAGTCACTCATAGCTTCTACAAGAGACAAATTGAACCTAAAAAGCCGGTATCAGAGTTTCCAGTTTTTTCGCCGAGATTTTTGCTCAAAAATCAAAGTTGTTTAAAAATTCCGAAAGAAAGATTGTTCAATGCAGTTTTTAACGGTGATTCCAAATATGATGTTGGTTTTGAGAAAAAATTGAAATTTGATGATGAAAACTGCAAATATGAGTGCATTTCCCTGATTTTTCTCGTATTTAAATTATAATGGACTGAGTCAATAGTATGTAGTGATTGTTTACTCAAAATATTGTACAGCTTTTCAAGAACTATTTTTCTATACTAAAGACTAGTTGCAT